AAACGAGACGACGAAATGGTGAGGTGGCAGACGTCGGGGACCGGGGTTAAGGTGGAGTCGGTGGGTGGAGAGTGTACGGGATATGAGGAAAATACGTCCCATATCCGTACGAGTATACACGATTATGTGCACAAGATTTTTTCCTTTCACAGTATTTCTCTCTCTCCTTTTACTCTTTCTCACTTCTTTTCTCGCAACTCATCTCCTCGTCATCTCTATTTCCTACCCACCTATCTATTTTTCTCTATCTTGCCCCATGTATAATATCATATGGTACATACACATATACTTATATATATATACAGAGCAAAAGCAGACTTATATACAAGTATGTACTACGAGGGTAAACACACTCCCGATCTACGCCACCCTCCTACCACCCCTCCTACCACAAACCCATGTGTTCATCTTGCGTTCTGCAGCAGGTCACTGTAGCAGGCAATTTCGTCTTGGTCAAACAGTTTAAAGACGTCYAATTATAGTTTCGTTCGACGACCCGGAACGATGACGGCCGTATGTGAGGTGGAAATGCCAGAGCCGGTTTACGTAGTACCTACGCGCAAATGGCTACCGGCAGATACTTCAATAAAATATATGGAGCGATGGTGACGATGAAGGTCAYCTGGAACGAAATACTTGTATTATGTTTACAACTATATGATACCAAAACGGAGTACGGGACAAGAAAAATTWGACGTTTCTTGAAGATTTTAGTTGTTTACATCGATAATAAACACGATAAGTAAACGCTTGCAGATGCTCGATATTGAAATATAGTAGTTAACGTGTGTTTCGAAGAGTGATAATATTATRWACTTCTCGTTTTTATTTTGTTTTAATCCTTTATAYAGGTTTAAAATACAAATTAAACATTATGGGTATTTAATATTTAATAGTAGGCATCAACAATATTTGAATAGCAAACAATTAAAATAATATATTATCCGTACCTATACTCCCGGATTTATGTAATTTTGAAGTATTAGTAATATATAAACATCATTTTTTAACGGATTGAGCAAAACCTGCTTAGTAACCTCCTAAAATTTATTTTTAGCGTAATTTCGTGTTTAAGAGCTTTAAGAATCTTAGTTTGGGAAAAGCAAACAAATCACAAGAAGTGGAAACTTTTCGTTCAATGTATACATTTTTACACCATTTACACCATACGATACACGATTACAATATGAAAAAGTAGTGGATATTATTAGCAGACGCATTTAACATATTTTATTTAGAATTTATTGAGACATGTTAAGCACTTGTCAAATTTAGTGAATTTAACTTACTCAAAGTATTTATCAACACATTGTGAATTATCATGTAATTAATGACATAGAGCAAAGGAATTGTAGCTCTAAAAAAGCTCCAAATATGCAAGTACTTAT